TAGCCTGCTGTACTAGATGAGGATTTCTTTAGCTAACCTTAGGTGATAGAACTGGTTTTGATGCTAAAACTGTGTGTATTGCCTGCCAGTCAACAGTCTGTTTGGCACAAAGCCAGAATTTTGCTCGGATTTGATTGGCTGCCAGACAAATTAATGATTGAGAATAAAGACTAAAACCTTTCACAAGCAGGAATGTCGGGGGAGGACAGATCTTTCTGCAAAAGACGAATCTTACTGGCATTTGGCATTTTAATTTTGGATCATGATCTATATATATCCAGCTTTGATGAAGAGGCCATTAGGGTAACAAAAGGAGGGCAGGTTTCTTACGCAGCGAGCGGTGAGGGGCAGGCCGTCCTTGTCTCTCTCATCAGGGTCCAGCATACCCAGCTGGACAGACAGCTCTCTCTTGTCATCAGCAATGATGGGGAAGGGCAGAGCGCTTTCAGCATCACTGTTAAATGCCATCACATCCTATACAGAGGGAAGAGACACAATTACACCTTTGGTTAATGTGTGTATGTTTTTCTCCTAAGTTGGTTCTGTCCATTTTAACATCTCCAGCATTGCAGCACAGGTTTAATGAGTGACCAGAGACGTTTAATCTTTAACTCTTACGTAAGTCATAAACAGTGGTTCAGTAGCATGTTACAAGTCTCTATGAGGGCCATGACCTAAGTGCTTATGCATTATGATATAGTGCCAATACTGTTGTAAAGACGGAAACACTAGGCTCAAAAAGCATGTGGTTTTCTTCTTTTTTGGCAGGAGGGCAGTGGTGTTACTGTTGTAATATCAAAACCACACAGTTCATCAGACTGACACTGGGAGTATTCCCTCTTGGACCAATCACTGGTCTTTCTGAGGAGGCGTTGTTGTAATGTGGCTACCCAGTTAAACATCAGTCACAGTGAATCCCTGTCTGTGTTGAGGGTTTAACCCATGAATATCTGACTCCTGATTTTCCACCAAACACCACATATATAATGATCTTGACTGATGAATAAAGTTTAATTCCGTGGATGTACAGCTAAGATTTTATAGAATGTTAAATGAAAAAATTACATTTAATTGATTACATGTAATTTAAATTAAATAAATAGTCAAAGTGGATTAAAATAAATAAAAATCAACTCAATAGTTCAATTAAAATATATAAATTACATTACAAAGAAATAAAAAATATAATTGCCATTAAAACAGAACTTACTTAAACATTTAAATAAAAATATAATGAATTTAAACTTGTACTTGCTAAAGTACTAAAAATATTAACAACAAATACTAATTCAAATCTAGGTAAATTCAATTAAATTTTAATTTAAAAAATAATTTAATGAAATAAAAAAAAAGTACAAATTCCAAATTAACAGATGGAGAATATTGAATGTGCTTATAATAAACAGTCAAATAAACGTTGATGACTAGTTCAGCGTAGATATTTCAAGTTCATCAGAGCTACAAATTGCATTTTACATGTGTCCAACTAGTGGAACTGTCATTTCCAATGTTTTTGGATTGGTTCTGGTCAAAAATTCAGATTACAGGACAGCAGAGATCCTGTCCACTAGACTAGTAGTTGGCCAATAAGGCTTTTTTTCCCCCCCCAATAGCCAAAGCCACTGCCAGTATTTAGAGAGCGGGGCGACCAGCGGCTGATATATAATGCAGATGTCAAAACAAAGAAAAATACTGTATAACTCCATTATTTCATGCACATTAGAATCTAATATACATAGACAACACTAGCCAGTAACGGCTTTAGATTAGATCTGTTGTCATTTAGGATTAGAGGAAAGTGTTAATTTAAAAATACAATGGTGAATGTTTACAGCAGGATACATGAGAGTTATAGTACAGGGCTCCAAACTAACTTTTTCACCACATTCCCAAAAACTCACAAGGGGGAGTGCTAACATCGTTCCACAGCTGACACACTGACAGGGCTGCCTGCAAATGTGTCTGCAGTCATGTTTGTTTTTTTCTGCCTTGTGAGTGAAGGAGTCAGCCAACGCAGATTATCTAGACATTACACTAGACATTAAAAGGTGGAGTTGGCAGATAAAACCCATGTGATTACAGTGACTAACGGCGCCACTGTCAATGTATCTAGATAGTAAAGAAACTGATTTAAAATGTCACAGTTATGCAATAAAGGTATATGAAGGTTAATTATCTTCACCAAGTGTCACTCCATCCACAGTAGCCTGACAGGTTCAACAAAGTCATTCATTAACTTCATGTGTGTGTGTGTGTGCATCCCCAACCTTGCTCCAGTTGCGGTGATCCTCAACACTGTCAATAGACAAGGCAATCATCTTCACTCCTCGTTTCTTGAACTCATTGCTGATCCTAGCGGCACAGGCGAGCTCAGTGGTGCAGACAGGAGTGAAGTCCCTTGGGTGGGAGAACAGGATACCCCATCTACAGAGGAAAACACACATAAAGCAATGAGATATTTGTGCTGCACAGAGTTTTCTGTCTCTGAAACCTCAATGAGAAAAACTGTATTAGGAAAACATCCAGCAGTCTACACTCATGCATACCTTTTAAGAGTGACCTTCCTTCTAAACAACAAAGTATTTAATTCACATTACATAGCTCATTTTAGGTGTCTTAATGTGTGCATTTATTCTGTGTTTTCTGCATATGTATCTGTTGTGGTTGTGGATTTATGTCTTGATGTTGCACACGTTTCCCATGTTATTGAAAAGGCAAAAAGACTGAACAGCGTGAGAGCACAAGCAGTGGGAGTTGAGACAACAGAAGAGGAAGAAATGGTGATAAAAAACAGAAAGAACATTAAGTTCCAGTAGAGGAAATTCCAGCCACAGATTGAAGCAACAGGTGTCTGTGAATCTGGCAGACTCAGGGTCGGGAGGTAACATCCAGCTGCGTTGTGCTGAAAATGTACAATGTATTTGAAAAGCGTGGGACTTGAGTTATTTTGCGAAACCATCGCTGGGATACTTCACATTGGAATGAGAAAACATGAGTCCCTCATGTGAATCATGTGGATGTATTCTTCAGTGTGTTAAAGTGTATTATCACATGGGGCAGAGGCAACACCAAAGCTTTGCTCCTCTCAGGCATTGTGATCACCTGATTACTGAGTGACCAGAGAAGAATTTGGTAAAGTCTCAGCTACTTTGAGCAGAACAAACCCTGGACATAGTTTTTAAAAGGAATGTGGTCAGAAGCTGGAGTTTAAGAAGTGAAAAACAACAACTAATGATTAGATTTTTGGCTGCAAAATTCTGCTATAACATTGTTTTAAACAACACAGTTCCCAGACGGGCTATTCTAAGACAAATTATTCTTCACCAAAAATGTATTTTTGCATGAACGAACACCAAAGGGTTCAAAGGGTGGTGGTAAAGTTTGTTTGTTTTTTGTTCTGCTGGGATTGCGAGGTTGCAACTTTTCCACTTGGCTTCCTCTAACACAAAAAGAAAACCATTCAGCCATTGCTGAAAAACATAATGGACCTTAAAACTAGGACACAGTTGCAACAGATGGTGGCCTCTTACAGTCCAACATATATTCCCACTAAGGAAAGAAGGAAGTTATTGTGCAATTGTTCTAACTGGGTGGTGTCCTTATATTGATGAGTGTACAGTTTGAGCAGATTCAGCTGTTTGGATAGATAGATAGATTGGTGGATGCCAACAGTAGATACAAGCACTGTAACCTAGTTCACACAAACACACAATGCAGGCTATGTGCGGCCTGTGCTTACACCTCACTCATGGCCTGGGGCCAGAGAAAATAAACATAGAAACTAAAAGATTGACACACACCTTACTGCCATTTATACGTGTATTATCACATTAATGGTATATTAACATTTTCTAATCCAACCGAGTCATGCTTGTGTAACCCTGTTGGTGTCACATGACAGTATACAGTCAATGTGCCACAGTGAGAGCACAGTCTCACGATATAATAGTCTACCTGTCTGGACCGGTGTGTCGGATCTCTATGAGATTGTGCGCTTTAGCTCCTGAACTCAGAATGAATCAGTTCAGGGACCTGCAAGCTTCTCAGCACACAACTACTGCCACTGCTCAGTCAAATACAGCCCATGAGCTAATGCTGCACTATTAAAAGGGAATATAACTCAGAGTAACACAAATGAGTTACAATGTGATGCCAGTACGGAAGCCTGCGCACTTACGAGTTGCCCAGGAAGTCGTGGAACTTGATCCTGCCCACGGTGGTGTCGGCCTCGAAGTTGGGGAACTCGTCTCCCAGCAAAAGTCCAGGCATGATCGGCTCTTCTCTGCAGCTCACACACGAGAGAAAAGAAGGGGGACAGCCTGCCTCGCTGGCCTGTAGTGATCAGGACCGCATGAATGGATCCGGATAGGGGCGGGGCTAACCGCAGTTACGTAACTCATCCATCAACCAGTGACGAATCGTAAAGATACAGGACTGTTTTTTTAAAAAAAACAACAACTTTATTATATACATAATAACATTACAAACACGTTATTGATATATAACGATAATAATAATATTATTTTATATATCGATGGTTACAAGCAGAAAGGAAATGAAATAATAAATACATAAAATACAATAGAATAAAATATACAAATGTATTAATATATATATATATATTTCAACAATAACAAACCGATTTTATAAGGTATACAAATAATAAATAATCTGACGAAACTAACGCGAACCTGTTTTTGATAATTCACGTCTGATGTAAACAAACGAATGAGGCTGAGTGAACAGTCAGTAGGTAACAGAGACGTTGTGTGGTTTCAGGCATGAAACAACTCCACCAAAACATTTCTGATATGAGACTCATTACAACATCAACCAAAGAGACAATGTCCACCAATGAACAGTCTGATGAACTTAAGTCATTAATTACAGTTTTATTTTATTTTATCTCTTACAGCTGCCATAGCAACTTGTCCACGCAAAGGGAAGAACGTAGTCACGTGTACGTCTCTAGAAATACATTATTTCCCAGGTTGCTTTGCGAATTGAACAACAAAGATGGCGATTCTGCTCAGTGTAACTGGACGTGATATGAATTGTGAAACGTACAACAGATGAGCTAAAGGAGCGACAACCCTCACAGCACTGCAGGAAATCTACCCCAGCGGTTCAGCTACATCCCACCCACAACACAAGTGTCCACGTCGGTAGAGTGACAGACAACATGCCGTCTCCTAAAGCTAAAAACCCGGGTCGCAGCGGAGGAAGCCCTGTGCTCGGCAGCACCAACGGCCGCTACGACTTCATGTCGCTGACCAAGCCGCTGAACCGGTCTTCTCCTCCGCTCCTCCTCCAGCGGCAGGGCTCCGACCCGACCACCGCCCGCCTCCGAGCCTCGGAGAGCCCCACCCGGCGCCGGGGCTCCAGCTCCTCCACGGGCTCAGCGGGGCTGCCAGAAGAGGACGGCATACGGCTCAACCCCTCCTTCGTCCGCGTAGCGCTCAGCTCCCTGCTCGCCATCGACCTGTGGCTGTCCAAGCGGCTGGGGGTGTGTGCCTGTGAGGACTCGTCCTGGGGCAGTGTGCGCCCACTGATGAAACTGATAGAGATATCGGGACACGGCATCCCTTGGCTGGCTGGTACCGCCTACTGTCTGTATAAGAGCGACAGTGCCGCAGGACAAGAGGTCATGCTCAACCTTCTCATGGGTAAAACACTCCTCTGTTTGTCTTCCTCCTCTAAGAGGGGAATTAACACACATATATTTATTTTTGCCTCTGCAGACATGTTTCTAGGTACCACAGGACAGGGTCGAGTTGCAGTATTCGTGTCATGCCCCCCGCTCCTCCTCCTCCTCCTCCTGCTCCTCCTCCCACCATGTTGTCATCTGCCATGCGCAACTCTCCTGTCAGAACTCACATGTGGTCCCACTTCCCAACACCATTTATGTGTTTCTGACCCATTTTACCTTCCCCCCATCAGTGCTGGCCATCCACATATGTCGATGGTGCTGGCAGGTATCACCTGTAGGTGCCATCTGTTGTTCAGTCTGGCCATAGTCCATCTCTGTTGTCTCCTGTAATTAATCTCTTTCCATACATGTGTCAGTTTACACATCAGCTTGGCAAACAGGCGAATGCTTCTGATTTTGATGTTATGCTGTGTGAAGCTGTAGCCTTCTCAAAACAATGCTGAGTCTATTGTTAAAAGCATGGTGGGCTGGTTTTGTATTGAGGCTCTCACTGGTTTGCAATACATCAGAGACACAGCAAAGGTGTTTTTTTTTAGACTTTGGACTGATTTATGAATGTTTATGCAGCTTTTACTTGGATTGCATCAGTCTGTAAATGGCCAGTAAAAACCTATAAAGAAATAAAACAAATCCTGCATCTCAATGGACTTTCTCCACTGAAACCCATGTGAGCACAAGTGCATCCAGTTTGTACATCAATAATTGTTTAATGGTAGAGGAAGAGGATTTGTGTGTCTGGTTTTATTTTTCAGTGCCACAGTAATTTAGAGAGGTCCAGTAACACAATGGCAGTTCACTGTGTATACTTAATTTCTGGTTTTGCCTCGTTGGAACTTAAGCCTGTTTTGTTCCTGTGTCTGTGTGTGATTGAATGTTTTGTTGTGGGATAACTGAATCAGTCAGTAATTATGAGGCAGGTAGTGGCAGGTCTATATGTGCGTGTTTCTCCGGTTATACAAGCTGTGAGGAAAACTTTCTGCGTCAGCAAACCATTGTGGTTTGCTGACAGTTGGTATGTGTGCTATTAAGCTATTAACAGTGCAGTGGTTAGCACTGTATGTTTTATCAGGAATATTGACAAAGCAATGTATTGCCTGTGTGATAAAACCCTGATTGTACTCTACACCAGTCCTTATATTCCACGCAGTACCTTTTAATGACTGATGGCCATTTAGGCATTAAATGGTATGATGCATGGGAGCTGAGGTAGGGAGGATTGCTCCAAGGGTACACTGAATGTTAATAGTATTGCATTAAGACTTTATTTTGCCACCCAACTTGTTTCAGTGGTCATTTAACATTTACCAGTAACCCTGAATGCTTGGTGTTAGACGGTAAGCGACAGCATCTGGTCGTCTGCATAAACAGTTTCTATCTGCATGCTTTAAGCGACAGGAGGCGGTTTCTGAGGGGCACAAACAGCAGACTGCGGTTACATCACTGAGCCAATTGCCCACTCTGTGTTATAACAGCAGTTATTAGACTATTGAGCAGTTATCAATAATGTATAAGATGTACTTTTGCCTATTCATTTTGCTCATATCCTTTCATGTGCCTCCAAGCAGCGATGGCTCAGTGCCACCTGACTGTTGCATTAATTTTTTAGCACTGCAGTCCACTAGGCCCAGATGAAGTGCAGATATAAGCTGCATTTCCTGTCAAGTTATGATCAGCAACACTCTGCATACAGTAGCTCACATTGTAATATCACTTTTAGTCATCCATGTCTATCCCATACCAGCCATCCTGTCTGTTATACAATATCTACTATAGGCTGGATGTGAGTATTTAATACATACCATTTTGATATAAATACTTACTAAACATACAAAGAATAAAAGGATTAGTGATACCTGTGCTTTTCCTGCTGTAACAGTCAGCTGTGAAAACGGCCTATATCAGGGCCCTGACACACCTGTAACCATTATCAGTGTTATTAATATTAACAACTGGGTTCTTACAGGAGTTAGAAATGTCTGTCCAGGATCATCAATGTTAAGTTTAGTAAATCTTGATAAATTAAGACTTCTGTGAACTGACTGTCAGTGAAATTTACTTTACAACAATTGCCCTTAGCAATACATGAGTAATGGCATGCACCACGAGATGGAGCCAAAGCAAAGGGTTCTTAAATCCTTTATATACTGTATATGGCCTTATGCAAAGGAGTAAGCTGTGTGTATCCTGCTCTCTGACCTGGTCTGGTTAAGTCAATGTACACTCTTGGGGTTGTGAGTGGAAACTTTCCTTCACCGAAAATGATTTTGGTTTTGATTTTATCATCCTAACCCTTTTAATATTGTTGTGATGCAAATCTGTACCAACAATACAAAGACAGCCACTGTTGCTGTTACAGTGTGTCCTCTCTTGGTGTCTCTAAATATTTAAATGTCTCATCTGTTTGCCAACAGCTTGCAGTTAATCTGATTGCTGTTTCTTCATACAGTATAACACATCTCCCCTTTCATCCCCTCTAGGCCTGCTGCTGGACCTGGTCCTGGTTACCATTGTTAAGGCAGTGGTGCGTCGGCGTCGGCCAGCACACAACCGTATGGACATGTTTGCCACCTTTTCTGTAGACCGCTACTCCTTCCCTTCAGGCCACGCCACCCGCGCCGCCATGTGTGGGCGGTTCCTGCTGGCTCACCTGGTGCTGGCTGCCCCACTGAGGGTCCTCGTCCTGCTGTGGGCTGGCCTGGTGGGACTGAGCCGAGTGCTGCTGGGCAGGCACAACGTGACTGACGTGATGTTTGGGTTCTGGATGGGCTATTGCCAGTATAACCTAGTGGAGATGTTGTGGGTCTCACCTCAAACCCTGCAAGGGCTGCTTGGACAGTTGGCTTAATATTACGGACTGAGAGAGGAGGAGACATGGTGGTTTAAATCATGGTTTTAAGAACGCATGCACATCCTTTGTCTTTTAGACTGACAGATAAAAGGGATTGTCTTTTGACTAGAGAAGAGAGCTCTCTCAAATGGTTTTATTCTGTCCTTATCTGACAGCCCACTTCAGCTCTCATTTTAGGTTGCAATGAGCCTGCCTGTAATAAATAGTACAGATATTTAAAACAAAAAGACCAGTGGGAAACAAATTTGTACAGATGACCCCCTGAAGCCACCTCACTCTCCTCATTGGCCTGAATCACGGACAATATAAAGTCAAAGCCTTTTTAAGTCCAATAGTTGTTTTGGACGCTGGTAATTATTTAGACTGCACGTATACATTCATTTGATGAAGTCTATAATTTTACATCGCAGTGGGTTAAATACTTAATGAAAATTACTGTCTTTGAATACAGAAGAATACAAATAGCCCTCTTCAACTAAGCTTTTCTCAATTGAGGCAAAAGTCAACAGCAATAAGTAGTAAAAACAGATTAAATACTGTAATATAAAGTAAATGATAAATTAGTGGAATTAGTGTAACCTGACTGCTCTGTGAACAAACCCTGATGAAATTCCTTGTTTAGACTATCAAAGTGTCCAGCAGCAACTGCGGTTAACTAACTGCTCACAAACTGTTACAAACCTATGTTCACAGATATTTCACAGAGAGTATGCCCCTCATGTTATTGCTCTAATTTGAGGCCAGGGTTAATGGGAGCACCTTGCCCACCTGTCTTCAACTTTAGGACAGTTTCTAGGAACCAATCGTGACATTAGCCATATGAGTTTCCCACTCAACAGCTCCTGTTTAACCCCAGCCATATGAGCTCTGTCACAGAGCAAACAGAACTTTTATTTCTTCTTCACATGACTACATCTGATAGGATTAGATGTCACGTTGAATACCCAAACTCTCATAAGCAAACATTTCAGCTATTTGTTACCAATTCGGTTGACTATTCAGTACCACTGTTTCGTTAATAATCAACCAAACCATATCACACACTGCTATCCTTTTAATCCTTTATTCATCCCCGTAGGAAAATCAGTTCTCTGCATTTAACCCATCCTAAGTATTAGGAGAGGTGGGCAGCTACTGTGCAGCACCTGGGGACCAACTCCATCTAAGGAGACTAGTCTAACATACATGTTTCTGATGGCAGCAGAAGCACCTGGAGGAAACCCAAATTACCAAATATTGCTCTTTAATTATTATTATATTATTTCCCTTATATAAAAGCCTTACACCTGATTTCCTAATTTAGGAAGGAGAAGTGTGTGGGAATCTTCTCTTCTCTAGGCATTGGCAGTTTCAAATGACATAATGAGACAGAAGACTGTCATTAAGTACAATACATTAATTACATTTGTCAGTAAGAGGAAGGAAACCTGCATATTGAATATACTTGGGTCTTCAGGTGTTATGTACCATATTTTTACATACTGTAAACAACCCATTCACTAAAAATAACCAGCTGAACTGAGAAAAAAATAACCACAGTTTGGCTCACAAAGGTTTTTTTTTGCTGATTAAAAACTAAGGAAGACTTTCACTTCCTGCTGGAATATTACGAACTTCATTTGAAGGGCAAAAAAGTGACAGGTTTATTAGTGATGACTGATTCACATTGTTGTAGAACATTTTTTCCACCTCTTTTGTATAAAACTTAGCTCTTTATTCCACTCAGTTCCATTAAGTGTCAGTAACAGTGACATTACAGGTGTCATTGGCTACAGTCATTAACCCACTTACTAAATCTTAAAATGTATTATTTATTTAGATAAATAATTATGACTTTTTATGGTAACAATCACAGAATGCACCCAATTATAAAAAACTTATTTTCCTATCACCTTAAATCTTGTTCATAAAAACGAAAGCTTGCTAGAATTCTGCACTGTGAAAATATCCATAAAGACACTTTTTTTTTTTTTTTTTTAAGCTCTAGTCTTGTTTGCAACTGCTGCAATAATTCTGGTCTCACAGACAAAGATACACTGATTATTCATTAGTAGACATTTAAAATAAATTGTACCAGAATGTGTAACCATGTACGTCATTTCCCATTAGCGCCACGGCAACACACCGTTCCATCAGGATCAGGTTTGGGTGAGTGGAGTGAGGACGTGTGTTGTAATGACCTGGTGTGCTGCCAGGTTTCATGGATCAGTGATCAGAGTTTAAAGGCAGTTCTGAAGTTTTGTAACCAACTACATGATGATAATAAGTGAACATACTGTAAATACAGTACAAGGTGCTTTGAAAAAATGAATTGGCACACACGCTTGTACCTTAACTTGAAGACCATTTTATGAATGTAAAGAAAATCCTGGCCATAATTACTCTTCTACTAACTAACTAATAATGTGTGGATAGATCTTGATTTCAATCTTTTGTGTTTTAAGTTCTCAGTTGGAGATGCACAAAGGCAATAATCTGTAAAGGCATTAACAACAAAGTGTTGAACTGTTGGAGCTCTTCCCACAGTTTATATTTGACGAAGAAGTAACACTTTAACCTACTGAACTGGTCTTGAATCTTAATGTTAGTCACAGATGTGACTGTGACTTTGGGTGATTGAGGCTGTGTTTAGGTCAGTGGTTTTGACCTACGCCCCACTGCAGGTGGTGGTAGATGACCAGGGGAAAAGTATGGAGTACAACCAAGTTGAATGAATGTAATTTATTTAGAATAGTTTTGGTTCCCCCATTGTTAATAATTGCTACTATTGTGTGTGTCGGGGGCGGGGGGGTGTTAATGATTAATCCATTTCCACGCACTGACCCACTGATTTGGGGTTGTAGGCTGAGATCCAACATTAATATTGAATTTTAAATGACGCCAGTGGTCCAGATGTTGTAACAACGATGGGTGTTTGACATTAGAGTAGCATGTGAACAGTTGTGGTTTACTGATTTGTGCCCTTGCAAGTGTTTGCTGTCACACGTCTGTACTGCTTCTGAAGAGCAAATGTGACTTTTCTGGGACAGATGATGTGTCATTTAAGCAATCATTTTGCTGACTTGCAACTAACCATGAAATCAGAATTAGCCTACATACATGTCATTGTCGATAGCCTTTTTTTTTTTTCAGTTGAAGCTAAGTGGAAGCTGAAGGGTATTTTACCATCTTAAATCCCATTTTTACCGACACTTATCAAAAGATTTCACTGTTGAGGAGAATTGCTCACATTTTTCCAAAATATGATGTTGAGCTGAGGTTTAAAGAAAAGTAAAGGAAGTGCTGTGCATGTGTTATTGTACTTTTATCCATTTAGTCACTACGCACAGTTGCACACAGCATGACTACTGTAGCTATGGACCACTCTGTGAAGTTGCACAACAGTCTTGGTTTCACTAACTTTACACACACACACCTTGGCACTGCCAGAAAAAAACAACTTATTAATATACAGGTGCATCAACATTTCTATGTTTGTTGGTCTGTTTTAATTTGTGTGTTGATTAGAAATATGATCAGATAAGTGGTCATATGATATCTCTGTAAATGTGTGATGTATGAACTATTGTTAAAACTTTTTTTGATAGAAAGAATGTTCAGTTTTCGTGCCTGTAGTTTTTTAAAATATCGTTCATTTTGACTGCAAGCCATTGGATGTGGTTTGTACCAGCTGGTCCGAGGAAGAGCCAGATATCTGGTATGAGCCAACATCATTTAACAGACTAGTCCCTGGTACACTGGTGCCCCATTGTAGACTGTTTCATTGACCTCGTACATGCTGTGCCCTCTCTCTGCAATAATTGCCCAATGCAGGCGATAAGATGACCAGTGAGCGAGGTGGTAGCTTCCAGACTTTTTATTTCATTACCCTTCACTCGCAAATCTAAATATGCTGGACACTGAACTCTGTGACCAAACTATTTTTATGATTCTGTGTTGTTTTACACTGCACAATCATGCAGAAGCCTAAGAAAAAGATATCTATATCAGTGATTACAGAATAGATTTTGCACATTCCATACGTCACCTGTTTACTTCCAGGTTGAGAAACAAAACCTTAAAGAAAGATGCATTTTGTTTGTTTGTTCAGCTTTTAAAGATTGTAAACAAATGCCACATCTTTTCTTGCACATTGTCAAACATGAAGCCAGCTCCAATTTATTTCACTGCACTGAGTTTTGCCTGCTAAATACTATAAATTATACTGTGTGTTTCCTGTATAGACCTTATTCTTAATGTATATACATATGCCTGTATGGTAATGTGATTACACTGTGTTATGTTCAGTGGATTTGAATGTGCTGTTCCATATTCCCGGAGAGGTTATTCCTGAATGATTTGATTGTAATGATTTTTAATTAAATGGGGAACAAATGTGAAACTGTCTCATGTCATGATTGATAGATAGATAGATAGATAGATAGATAGATAGATAGATATGTACAGTCGTTACTCAATTACTCATCAAATGTCATCAGCTTGATTTAACTGCGAGGGCACAAACTGAACTTTAGTCAAAGTCAAACCCATTGGATTTGCGCAGCTTAACTTGATAGTTGCCTTTTTTGGACAGGATTGGAGAGAAAAAAAGAAAAGAATCCATCTCTTCTGTCACCACCACAGTATAAAGTCTGTGCTCAGGTAATGCTCGTCCCAACTGACTGGCACAAAAACTCACACACAAGGATCAAGGTAAGAAGGAGAGCTGATGCTTCTGGTTTATCTTACTGCAGAATTCTTTGTTTTTAGTGCAATAGTTAGATGGTAATATTTTAGTGAGATGTGTTATGTGCATATCCGTTTGATTGTACTGCAACATGACTGATTCAAACAAGAAGTATAATCACAACACTCAATAATGTAATTCTGTGGAAAAAGGTTTTCAGCACAATAAACGGCTCACAATATTGCATAGCTTTGTCTTTACAGCCAGTAGATCAGTTACAGTGTTCTTAAAGAAATGTAAGATCACTCTTTTTTTTGTTTTCGGTCGATTAATGTAATTAAATCAGAAAATAAAATATTCAGAAATATTTTGAAAGCAATTCTATAATCTAATGCAAGTTGTATTTATGAGCTAGTGCAATGTGTATATGTTAAAATATCTGATCTACCTTGCTTATCATACTGTAGGTAAAAGTCTCACTGGAGCATTTTAAGTGAATAAGACTGAGCTTTACCTTTTCTGCATGAAAACAATAATTGAATTAAATTCTTGGCACAATATCTGAATATACTGTAGTGCATATTATTAAACTGTCTAATAGGTGACAGTGGCTTGGACTAACCGTTACACATTTGGAATTTTAATCTGATGACAGCAATGAGTTAAAAAGCTATTTTTCCTTCATGCAGCTCTACCATGGTGCGCAATGTAGCAGTGATCGGGGCAGGTCCCTCAGGTCTGACCAGCATGAAGGCTTGTCTGGATGAGGGCATGGTGCCAACATGCTTTGAAAGCAGCGATGACTTGGGCGGACTGTGGAAGTTCAAGGCAAGTTTCCACTCCAGAATAAGTGCTGCTAACAATCATTTTGTGAAACTGGGTGAGGACGAGGTCCCTGTTATTCTAAACCGCCATGTTTTCTGCCATTTGAAACTTCTTCTCTGCAGGAAGTGTCAGAACCCAACAGGGCCAGTATCTACCGTTCTCTCACCATCAATATCTCCAAGGAGATGATGTGCTACAGTGACTTCCCAATCCCTGCTGATTATCCCAACTACATGCATCACTCGAAAATCCTGAACTACTTCAGGATGTATGCAGAACATTTCAAACTGCTGCAACACATTCGCTTCCAGGTAACAAAATCCACACCAGCAGAGAGAGTGTGGGGTTCATTTAATATATTGCTGCAGTTTGAAACAACATCTACAAACTAATTTACTGTATTTTATTATGCATTTTAGACCTTAGTGAAGTGTGTCAGACAGTCATCAGACTATTCTCACACTGGTAAATGGGAAGTGGTGACTGAGAATAGAGATGGACAGGAAGAGAGGCACATCTTTGATGCAGTAATCTGCTGCTCTGGTCATTACACCTACCCTAACCTGCCACTCAAAGACTTCCCAGGTAAAGACATTTTACATACATCTTACCCAGGCTTGCATTAAATTGAGTGAGTGTCTTGCTCCTGGCATAAAAGTAACAAAATATATGAAGACATCATTCTGCTGTGCTGCAGGAATTGAGACATTTGAAGGGAAATACTTCCACAGCTGGGACTACAAGGGGCCTGAAGACTTGTATGGGAAGAGAGTGGTGGTCATCGGCATCGGTAACTCGGGCGGCGACATCGCTGTGGAGAGCAGCAGAGTGGCAGAGCAGGTTGGGAAGTCTTTTCTGATTGCTCTCATCTTCTTTTGATTAAAGACACTGATTCAAGATAATTAATGTGTCTTGGTGTCTGTCTCTTGCTCTTGTTCTGCAGGTGTATATGAGCACTCGTCGTGGGGCCTGGGTCATCCGTCAGGTTTCTGACAACGGCCTGCCAGTGGACATGAAGTACAACACGCGCTTTGTCCACATCTTGTTCCAGCTGTTGCCAATTAACATCCTCAACTGGATTGGTGAGAAGAAACTCAACGCCATGTATGACCACACCATGTATGCCCTCAAACCCACACACAGGTAGGTGCTGTCAGGACCACACAGATTATTTATCTACACAAAGTGTGACCTCCTCATGTTGTTACTGAGGTGTGCAAGCAATGAAGTCAGTCACATTTAAGCTTGTATAATCAAGAAAAATGCATTGGATGTTGAAAGTCTGTAAGGGATATAATATATAATGATATATAATGTCACTTTCCCTCTGTCATTATTATTAAAATATCTTAATCTTTCCCTTGTCATCCACTCCACCGTTTTCTGCTGCCTCATCAGACTCTTCAGTCAGATCCCAGTGATCAACGATGACCTGCCCTTAAAGATTCTATCTGGGTCGGTCATTCTCAAACCAAATGTGAAGGAGATCCGTGGCTCCACCGTGGTGTTTGATGATGGCAGCATTGTGGAGAAGGTCAGAGGAGTTTGTGTCCAAGGACACCCTTAAGAATATTTCTATACTTCAAGTACAATTTCTGTAACTTATCGCTTCCCTGTTACAGGTGGACACGATTGTGTTCGCCACAGGTTACAGCTATGATTTTCCATTCTTGCCGAGAAATGCTATGTACAAGTCTGGGCACCGTGTGGGTCTGTACAAGCATGTATTTCCTCCCAACATGGAGCATCCCACTCTGGCTGTTGTGGGTTTCATCCATGCCCTTGGAGCCATCATGCCCCAGGCTGAGATGCAGGCCCGCTGGGTCACACGTGTCATGAAAGGTGAGGCTACATGTTCCGTTTATATCCCTCTACTAGTCCAGATACTTTCCAATCACATCTTTATTTACCTCTGTATATCTTCTGCATTTTGCTCTGCAGGACATAAAAAACTGCCATCAAACCGGGCCATGATAAAGGCTGTTGAGAAGGACACCAAGGATATGGAGAAAAAGTAAAGCTCACAATATTCCTTTGCCTGATTATTTGTAGTTCTTGTCCCTTTTTCTGTCATATCCCACATACATTTGATTATGTATTTTTAAAGATGGCAGCTAGATTCATATTTTTGGCCATTTGGGGGCAGATACTGATATGTTTTAACTATTTGGCATTAGGAGTAACATATTAGCAAACAGTTGCCTATTACAAATATAGCAGACACAAAGTAACATTAGTTTTCTTGTGATGTTTCTGGTCACTTAATGAATTTAAGTCCAATATTTGGTGCAGAGTATGTGGAGTACAATGAGTTAAACAGCTTCATGAGAACAGAGCTGCAGCTAGGAAAACCAAAATAATGGCACTAACTAACAAAGACACAAATGCTTTCACATTAAACATAATCATTTGAAACATTGTTAATATAAAAGTATCGATTGTTGGAGCTTTAAAGTGACAAAATCATAATCGACAAAACCTTCTGTGTGAGATTTCTTACATTTATTTCTGATTTATCCTCTCCACAGCTACATTGTGTCCAAGTTGACTCCCCTGCAGGTGGACTTTGTTTCCTACATGGATGAAATAGCAGGAGAGATTGGAGTGCGGCCAAGTCTGCCCTGGCTCTTCTTTACAGACTACCCACTGTTTAAGAAGGTTCTGTGGGGACCTGTCACAACTTACCAGTACCGGTTGATGGGACCAGGGAAATGGGATGGAGCCCGTAGAGCAATCTTCACCCAGTTTGACCGCATGTACCAGCCCCTAAAAACCAGACAGGTCTGATATAATTCTACATTTTGTAAGCCTTGCATGAAATGCTGAATGTATGCATTGTGTCAGACTGTCTGACAAAATTTAAACATAACTTTTCCCTTCCTGTCTCTTCCAGCTGAAGGAGCAAGAGCCCTCTATCGCTGGCCGCCTGATAAAGTTCAGCCTGACCATCATGGCTGGAGGAGCTACTATCTATTACATCCATGTGCGCAACCCAAACACCATCCCCACCCTCCTGTCCAAGCTCCGTCCACAAACAATCTAAACTTGCTCCATCAATTAAATGATGCGGGAAAAAAACCCTGAAACACACAAAACCAATCTACTGTTTCTAGATCCTCTGAGATATCTAGTTCAGTATACTCCTCTTTGGGTTGTGATTATGGGAATGATTGTTAGGGTCACTGTCTGAGCTACTGATTAATGCTAGAGGTCTTACTGTATCTACATATATATTTAGTTTATTGAAATGCCTTAACCTTTTATATGGCAACTGTTTAAAGAAAGTTACAAAATATTTAGTGGACTGTTAAAGGTCATGCACATCAACGTATTTATATCATATGTAACTTTAAGCCAACATGAATGTGGAGTGTTTATCCTGTGTGAATAAAACAATATATTACACGTCTCATCTGAGTGTGGTCTAGTGTCAAGCAAACAATATAATAGAATAGTAAGAATATAAGTGCAGTACATCAAGATAAAATAAAATACTGTACCTACACATAACTATACATAACTGCACACAAATTATCCACTGACACTGGTATTGTAACTTATTTTGGCTGCTTACATCTTCTCAGGACTGTGTGGGCGTGTACAAACAGTTTGATTGACAGTCCCCGCACTTGGCACATTACCAGAGGCTGAAAACACCTTACTCAGGGCCTTCGGGAAATTGTGCCTATCGTCCAAACTATTAGACAAATTTAATGAAAGGTTTTCTTCGTACATTAATCTCTTCAATACTGGTATTTACATCTCCCGTTGACGTCCTCGTCTCAATGAGCCCCCAAGTGATTAAATTTGTGAAATACACAAAGATTATCTGAAGTTGAGATCCACCAGCTCTCACACACAACACAGAGAAAGTGTTGCTTTAAAAAAGTGTGGCCCAGTTCGAGCTGGTGAAAGCACTTTTCACAGAATTTAAAATCCATCCCTGCCTTACTTTATAAATGTCAGTCTGTTTCTTACTTAAAGGGTTCTTTAAAATCTGCTGGTGAGCATTGCTGTGAATAAACCAAGGAGTCACAAAATTCTTAGCAGGTAAATACAGGAAAATTTTATTGTGTTGTTTCAACAAGGTAACACCTCACTGTTATAGACTCAAATATTATTTCTAATTAAAAGCAGAGTACTTTAAATGATCAGTTCATCAAAAGCACAGTAATTAAAATAAGCCATTCATAAATGGGGAAAGGTTGAACGCAGAGGAAATAAAATGTCCAATACCGAAATCAGGGAAGGTCAAGTCCGAATATTACTGTTCAATACTGTCCGTCAGTCTTGCTCTGCTCCTGTGTTGCGTTGTAATCCTCTCCTCTACTGGCTGGCCGGCGACATCGCCTCTCGACTCTGTCTCGCCTCCATGTTGTTTCCTCTGCCGAGTGTGTTCTTCCTCTCGCTCTGTGCTCTGTCTGAATGTCTCTTCCTCTGTTGTCCTGTGTCTCTCATGTTTGGGCCCGCACATGTTCCTTGATTCACCTGCTGAGTCCCTCTCCCTTTGCCCTGGTGCTCTCTGGGTCAGCTCTCATATCCGATTGGGCAATTCAATTGTCTTATCAAGAGTCAGAGGCGAGCAGGTGCTGCTTATTAAGTGTCAGGCAGGAATAGTCATTAAAATAAATATATATATATATATATATATATATATATATATATAAAACATGAAATAAATAAGCAACATAAAGAGTTGGAAACAATACTTCCATTACCATTTGTTATTAAAAAAAAGAACACAACTATATTCTTGTGTTTAATTTCTTAAGCTGATTATTTTCTGTGATTTCTAAGGCCTAATATTATTTAAAATATGTGACAACCACGTTATTTATTTTTTCATACAGTGTGAATATAGTTTGCAGATGTGTGCAGCTGCCAGGTGGAGGAGGAGGAGCCTCCGGTTGTTTTGGGGAGGAACTTCCGCCCTTAACTCAGATGAAGTCGGATGACGACGTGTTTTCGATGCTGCTGAGCTTTATCTGTATTTTACAGGTTAGTAGTTGGTAAAACAATTACTAATGTCAACTTACTAAAGCCTAGCTTTATCCTAGATAGATCCAAGTGTTATAAATATATTTTGACATCGTTTTGGGCCTTTCCGTCGCACACAGTTCAGGCCAACAAGTGGGCAGCCGCTGCACCTTGATGTTTGGGTTTCTTTTACCTGAGTAAAGTCTGGCAGGTCAGTTGGTATTTGGGTTTATTTAGTACTTTTATTTGGGCTCCTACATGTATGCTAGCTTAAGGAAATTATATATTCCAATGTGCCTTAAAACAAAACAGTTATTGGTGTTGTTAAATGTTAAAAGAGCTGCATTTATTTGTTTAGAATATTTATATGTTAATGACACTGTCATCTTTAGACACAGCATAATGGTTTAACATTGAAAATGTTTTGTATTTTTTCTGGTAGCTGTGTTTAAAGTGAGTGTGTAAAGTCCAGAATCATTGCAAACTAGACATTTTCTGCACAAGTACAGTTTAGTATTTCTGTAATTTGCACTATATTAGAGTAGCCTTAATTCACTTATGTACAGGAGATTGCAGTTTGAAGTAGAAAACTGTAAGAAGTAGCCTACACCATTGATGTGAGGTAGTTATAGTTGTGAAAACATTCTGTGAGATGTGGATTTATGGATGTTATGTGCACTTAAGTCACATGTATGGACTGACACAGACTGACACTCCCATTGTGAAATAAAGGAAACAGATGTGATCTGGATGACGAACTGAAAGCTCTGTGTCTTCATTGCTGTTGAACTTGTATTTTACAGATGTCTCTTTTGTTGCTGTGGTACCAACTCTGGGACCTGCAACATTCATTTTATAAATATACAGTTGTTATTTTTATCACAAATAATACATGCATGTTTTAATCATCATGAAGAAATTATGGATTACTAGTAAACATGTTGTCAATGAGGGTAAACTGGTTACTAAAGAGAGGATGATTATTTGATGGATTTTAAGTACCCTAATAACTTATTTGTTATTTAATAAAGTTATTTGTCAGTAAGGGTGAAGAATCACTTAGGGGAGGAAAGGCAGTCGTGGTAACTAATGGGCAGGGACTGATTCAGTATTCAGTAACCACTCCATAATTGTACAACTTTACTTAGGGAGTAACTAACAGACCAACATTTTTAAAGTAAGAATTCAGTATTCAGTAACTCATACAAAATATTAAGTAATCATAAGGTAATGATGAAGTACTGAGGACCACTGAGTAACTAATAAGTATTATGTATCACTACTTGGGTGCATGTAAACAGTAACTAATATTAATTATGCATTAATGCATTAAAATGCAAAGACTTGTAACAGTCACCAACATTTTATTGGGGCCTTGCCCCCAAACCTGTCTGGCGGAGCTTGGACTCATGACTTTACTATTTCTGAAATCCTGGTTAAGGACCTGTTTCAAACAGGGTCAAAGTCCCACCCCTGCAGTTCTGTGACACTGATTAGGAGATAAGCAACAGCTCAGTTCATGTGAGCCGAGAGGCTGTTTAACATCTGATCACAGCTGCACAGGACTTGCAATCAGCTTACTGGAGAAGGTGAGAGCAGTCTTTCAGACCTCAACAATAAGAGTGTTGTTATTCAACATGACAATTGAAGAGACTTATTTTTGTGCCAGCGGTTTTCTGCTGATTTCCCCCCTGACAAAAATGGGTTTTAGACGAGACACTATTTCCTCTACACATTTCATTTGTTTATCTAGTCTGTTAAAGTAGTCTAACACTTAAATGCTGCTGCATGCTGTAGTGTTATTCTGAACATCAGTGCATTACAAGGTTAGGAGTTATACAGGCGTATACAGAGTGCTGTTTGGCAGTCATAAAGTATGGAGGCACTGCTGGAAGGATCAGAGATTACTAATGTTTATAATACTGAGATAATACAGAGATAATTATAATAGTAGACTTTGCATGTATAAAGTCTGAATTTGTCATATTTGATAGTGGAAATAATGCTTGTTACAGGAAAAGCAGAAAACAATAACGTTTACCAAATTCACATCTGGGTGGATTTCTAAAGCACTTCACTAGTTCCCTTTTTAGCCATGCTAGCAGCGTGGATCTGTGGGTGACAATGTCAGACAGATGTTCCACCATACTGGTTCACATTCCCTACAGAAGAAAAACCTTCTGACTTTGGTCACTTTTGATTTAGTGGCACCTTAAGCTAGCATATGTGAAATAGCTTTACAGCTATTGGATGAATTACCATGAAATGTGCTATGATTATTCCCTAGTGTGTGAATTCTAATGCCTTTTGTGATCCTTGCTATGTATATTCTATAGATATTCAAGGTCTCTAGAGAATAAATTCTAATGAATTTAGTGATGCTCCATGGCACCATTATTGGGCCATAATTCAATCAACACATCCATTATTTTGGTTTATGAAAACATACCTGCAGAACTATGTTTAGTGTTAATTAGCAAACATTATTTACTGACAATCTAAAGAAATATGGTAAATCTTGTAAAACATTACCTGAGGATCACTGCTAATGTTTGCTAAAAGCACCACTTACAGCCTCACTGAGCTGCTAGCAGGGCTGTAGACTCTTAAGTCTTGTGTACAGACATGACACATTTCTGATTCTTCGTGTCCCTCCCTGCAGGAGTGCACCACAATGGTTCGACGTGTGGCAGTGGTTGGAGCAGGTAGTTCTGGGCTGGCCTGTATCAAGATCTGTGTTGATGAAGGTCTGGAGCCTGTTTGCTTTGAAAGTAGCGATGACATTGGTGGCCTGTGGAAATTTAAGGTGAGCAGGGGCACCGTTTTAGAGAGAGTTTCCCACTCGTATTGCAAAATTGGTTTTGCCTGTACACTCGGCTCAAATACATTGAATTACAGTCCACATATGTGCGCCAGATCTGGTAGCCAAATATGTCATTTTTCACATCACTGAAATTCTGTAAAATGTAATTTGTCAGACAATCTTTCTTCCTCTTCTCTGGGCCAACTAAGGGCCAGTTGGCTGAGATATGGCAATCACCTGTTGACCATAATTCATTTGCCAGACCAATTAAGCTAGTGGCACATATTAATCTTGTTACCAGTTGAGGGTTTGTGAAATGATGCTGTATGGTCAAAGAACTTTCCCCCCTCATCTAGAACAAGTCTTATTATAAGTCTTTATGATGATATATAAACAATGATTAACACAACAGCGTTGATTAAACAGTAAAGTGATTATCAGAGTGGTTTCCTTTTTATCCACAGGAGTCACCAGAGCCAGAGAGATCCAGCATCTATCGCTCCTTGGTGGTCAACACCTCCAAAGAGATGATGTGCTTCAGTGATTTTCCAATGCCCGCTGATTATCCAAACTACTTCCACAACTCCCAGCTGCTGCAGTATTTCAGGCTCTATGCTGAGCACTTTGACCTGTTCAAATACATCAATTTCCAGGTTATTCCAGTTTTATCAAGCCACTGGACAACTTCACAACATATTATGTGAAGTTGAAGTTATTAATATGTGTGTGTGTGTGTGTGTGTGTGTGTGTGTGTGTGTGTGTGTGTGTGTGTGTGTGTGTGTGTGTGTGTGAATGTGGCTACGGATGCTTCAGACCACAGTAAAGAGTGTCACACAAAGGCCAGATTTCTCTCTGTCCGGTCAGTGGGACATAATGACCATTAACAGGGAAGGAAAGGAAGAGAGACACGTCTTTGATGCAGTTCTGGTCTGTTCAGGCCACTACACCCGTCCGGTCCTACCACTGTCAGACTTTCCAGGTTTGTGAACAAATAGACTTTTCAGACCTTTTACAGAAAATGATGGAGGAGTAAGTAGATCTGTAGCGTCATCTGTATCTCTCCAGGACATGAGACGTTTTCTGGCAAGTGTTTTCACAGCTGGGAATATAAAGATGCAGATGCCTTCAGAGAAAAGAGGGTGGTGGTGGTTGGCATTGGCAATTCTGGTGGAGATATTGCAGTAGAGACTAGTAGATCTGCAAAGAAGGTAAGAGAACTGTATAGAGCTGTATAACGTTATTTTGTGAGCTTCTTACTACACTGCGAGTGCTAATTATCTCTCTGACAGACATTTCTCAGCACACGCGAGGGGGTCTGGGTGATCAGCAGGATGTCCAGTAATGGTCTTCCCCTGGACATGACAGCTATCACCAGGCTCAACAACATCCTCACACTGCTTCTTCCCAGTACTCTGGTGAACTGGGCAACAGAGAGAGCACTGAACCAAAAATACGACCACAGACTGTACGGCCTGAAGCCCAGACACAGGTGATACATTTTGACCTGGATCACGTATGTTCCCCTCTGCTTCATGACCCCGGGCCACTGGGTTTATTGTGTCTCCTGTCAGCTTCAAACACCTCTTTTTATTTCAGTGTTTGTCTCATTTATTCTTCTATGTGATTCATGTTTAAAGCCCCAATTCATATTTTATGACCACAGATTTAAGTTGCAGCATAGTCAACTGTAAATGATTAGCATAGTGACTCAGTGTCTGTCACCTGTCTTTCATGTTTAGAGCATATTGTTGGGGGAGTTTCTTCTCCAAAAGACATCTAGTAGGTTACTCTTGCCTTTGCCCTTAATCAAAATCTTGGCCTCAAAACTGGGGCTGGCCTTTAGACTTTTCCCGATTAGTCTGTTTAGGTCAAATGTGAAGGACAAAACTATAACTAAAACCTGTTTACAGCCATGCTAGCAGCTCTGTGTGGCTATCAGGCACAGTACAGCTTTGAGCTAAATGCTAATATCATGCTACCATGCTCACAATGATAATGTTAACATGCTGTTTAGCGGGTATAATGTTGTGTTCACCCTCTACATTTATCTTGTTATATATATGTAAGATTTTTAAGTCTGGATCAAAGTTAGACTGACTGATACTGATCCCTCGAGCCACACCATTAGCATAGCTAAAAAGATTGCTGATTTAAACAAGCAGCAAACAGCAAAACATTAAAAACTTAAGTTTGCTTTTGGTCTTTTGAACTGTCACTTGAGTTGGCTTTTTTTGGTTCAACTGCCATGTAATTTACATTTGATATAGAGTGTTCCTTTAATACCATCATACATGCAAACATAAATATAGATTGATAAACTTATTCTCCACTCTTTAAGTACCCATAATAAGTCTAATAGAGATCAACTATTTTAGACAATATTTCATCAGTATTAATCTTGTTGGTATGTGCTATAGATTATTTTTAATTGATGATTTGCTTGGTGTCGTCTATGCAGACAATTAATGAAAAAATGGTTAACTCCTATTATTTCTTTTCTTTCTCAGATTTTTGGACAAAAGGCCTTTGATCAATAATGATCTTCCTGGTCAAATCCTTCAGGGAGCGCTCGTAATGAAACCCAATGTGAAAGGCTTCAAAGACTCTGGAGTTGTATTTGAAGATGGCACAGTGGAGGAAAACATTGATGCTGTCGTCTTCTGTACAGGTTATAAAGTAAGCTTCCCATTTCTGCCTCCAGCTCTATCAGAGGGGCCTCACGGAGACATGACATTATACAAGTAAGTATATGGTGATTAGAGTTATATATAGCTAGGGCTGATTTTATTATGTAAAAATGTAGATTGAAACTCCAAATTGTACAATTAGAACCTCATTTACTGAAGTTGTAAGCGTCATATAGCACATCTAATTTATGAGTTGATGAGAAGATATAGATGCCTCTCCAGTAAATATGTAGCTAACAACCAGTGTAGACTTCAGGAAGTCACTGCACTAAGAAATAGTCAAGCTCCTGTAAAACCTTATCCCACAAAAAAAAAAACACAACTTATTGTTTTTACACTCGAACACACATGATATAGCGAGTTAATTACTGAGCTTTAGAGGTGCTGGTCCAACTTTAGACAGAGCCAGGCAAGCTGTTTCCCCTTTTCCAGTCTTTTTGCTGAGCCAAGATAACCAGCTGCTGGCTCCAGATTCATACTTACTGTACAGCCATGAGAGTGTATAAGTCCTATTTTCTACCTCTCTGCCAGAAACTATTCCTTTAATAGTTTTATTGAAATGCATTTTTAAAAATATCTAAATTTAGTGTTTTATTCATAGCTTGAGGACAAAATTTAAGTGTGTAGAATTTAGTGGCATCTCAGTGAGGTTCACCTTCACTCACCCTCCCTTTACAAGCGTGTTGGAGAAAGTACAGTGGCTGTGAACCTCATGAAAAAAAGCCTTACCTACACCTTGTTTTTGGTTTGTCCCTTCGTGGTTACTTTAAAAACATGGAGGTTCAGCACGGCAGACTCCACAGAAGTGGACCCGCTTCCTCTGTAGATAAAAACGACTCATTCTATGGTAACAAAAACATGATTCTTATTTTCTGGTTATTATAGTAATGAAAACATACTTGTATACATATATACAGACAAGGCCGAAATTATTCATACCCCTGGCAAATTTTGACTTAAAATGACTTTTATTCAACCAGCAAGTTTTTTTTTTTGACCGGAAATGACACAGGTTTCTCCCAAAAGATAATAAGATGATGTACAAGAGGCATCATTGTGGAAAAAAATATTTCTCAGCTTTTATTTACATTTGATCAAAAAGTGGGAAATCTCAGAGGACGTGGTCGGAAGTCAAAAGTGACACCTGTGCTGGCCAGGAGGATAGTGAGAGAGGTGAAAAAGAATCCAAGGATCACCACCAAGGCCATCCTGGTGAATCTGGGCTCTGCTGGTGGCAACGTCTCAAGGCAGACAGTCCAACGGACACTGCACCCTGCTGGGTTCCACGGACGCAGACCAAGGAGGACGCCACTTCAGATAAGGCACACAAAAGCCCGCTTGGCCTTTGCAAATGCTCATCTGAACAAAAAAGAAGACTTCTGATCTTCTGTTTTATGGTCAGATGAAACAAAAATTGAATTGTTTAACCACGATGATGTATCCTTCATTTGGCGTAAAAAAGGAGAAGCCTTCAACCCAAAGAACACCATCCCCACTGTCAAACATGGTGGTGGGAATCTAATGTTTTGGGGGTGGTTTTGGTTTTCAGCCAATGGACCAGGGAACCTAATCACAGTACGACACCATGAAAAAAGAGCAATACATCAACATCAGGCAATCTGCAGAGAAACTTGGCCTTGGGCACCAGTGGACATTTCAGCAGGACAACGACCCAAAACACACAGCAAAAGTGGTGACGAAATGGTTAGCGGACAAAAACATTAACGTTTTGCAGTGGCCCAGCCACTTGAATCCGATTGAGAATCTGTGGAGGGAGCTAAAGATCAGGGTGATGGCAAGGAGACCCTCCAACCTGAAAGAGTTGGAGCTCATTGCTAAAGATGAATGGGCAAAAATACCAGTGGAGACATGCAAAAAGCTGGTCAGCAATTATAGGAAGTGTTTGATTGTTGTAATAGCCAATAAAGGCTTTTCTATTGATTATTGAGAAGGGTATGAATAATAAATAAAAGCTGAGAAATATTTTTTTACACAATGATGCCTCTTGTACATTGTCTTATTATCTTCTGGGAGATGCCTGTGTCATTTCCAATCAAGAAAAAACTTGCTGGTTGAATAAAAGTAACAAAATTTGCCAGGGGTATGAATAATTTCGGGCTTGACTGTATATAAAATGTATGCTAATATTTCTGGCTTATAATCTTATATACAGGTCGTTTAAATTATGAACATTTTAAAAAAACATTTTACAAGTTGTAAAGCTTGTCATGATAAGTCAGGCACAGAAGGGCTGATGCTCCTGACAGTAGCCAACTTAGAAAAAAGAATGGAGCTTGTATGTATTTTCCCTATTTTGAGTGACACATCATTTCTTTTTAGATCTTAATTATGTTGTCATGTATCATTGTAATATATTATTATAATTTTAAAGGATCACCTTGTAGTTTTTTCAAATTTCAGGAGACTGTTTCCTCCTTCTCTAGTACAACCAACACTGGCCGTCATGGGTCTTTTTCAAACAAAAGGACCAATCATGCCCATTGTGGAAATGCAGGCGCGGTGGGCTGTGAAGGTCTTTGCCGGTAAACAATTGTGAGCTTTACATGTACTGTACTGTATACACGCAGTCACACTCAGGGTTAAGGAGCCAGACTGTGTTTTTATCTTTAAGGTCTGAGCCGTCTTCCATCCAAGGAGAAGATGCTGGCAGTCATTGAGTCTGAGACGAAGAGAAACATGAAAAGGTAGAAAATATCTTCACACCGATATCCTTTAGATGGTACAGTCACATCATGTTCTTCCTTTAGAAAGCAGCATTTTAGTTAAAATATGTTAATAATGGCAACAAATCCATTCTTCAATCTGGTTTTCTCAGCTACCCCTGCCACCGACAGGCTGCTCTCCAGGTAGATTACATCCCATACCTGGATTTTATGGCCAATGAGGTGAGTTCAGTTCAGCTTTATACAAAACTGTGTTACTATCTGTACAGTATGTCTAAGACACAAGCGTCATGATAGACTTCCAATCACAGGTAGGGGTTCGACCAAGTTTCGTGACACTGCTCCTGAGAGATCCTGTGCTCTGGGTGAAAGTCTTCCTCGGTCCCTGCACTCCATATCAGTATCGTCTCACTGGGCCTGGACAGTGGGCCGGAGCCCGTCAGGCTATCCTCACTCAGTGGGAGCGGGTGGCTCAGCCTTTCAGAACCAGAGTGGTACCAGAACCAGAGAGCAGGCCGTCTTCCTTCTGTTCTCCCTGGCTGCTCATATTTGGAGGAACTGTGATAACGGCTGTGCTTCTGTCTAAAAATGAGGTTGTTCCAGTGCTGCAGGGTGCAGCTCAGATTCTGGACAGGTGCAAGATCTTCCTAAAGGACTCCTGGTTCACTGGTTAATGTCAATAACATCATGGAAATGGGGCCAAGTTTGTATAATAGGATCCAAAATCCAACAAGTTGCACTGTGATGTAAAATATAAAAATATACACGGATTATAGATCCACCTTCAATATGCAAAAGATGCAGTCAAAGAACAGGTCTGAGAATTCACGAAGTCATGTACTGTATTTTCACCTGTCTTCTGATTTGGTTTACAAATGCTGTTTATGTAATAATATGAGATCATAAACTTGTGAAAGTAGTTTGTACTCTTCAGCTGTGTCAGTTTCAAAGGTCAGAGCAACCTGCACACTACCATACAGTGTGTAGAAAACCCAAAATTCAGGCTTACTGATGTAGGAAAAACATTTATTCACAGTATGTGTCCAAGAAATATATTTTTTTGCACACAGTGGTAAACAGTCCTCTTCAGGTTCATGGTTTAGACGGACAGATAAAGTTCAAGATGTGCTTATATATGGTACATTTTTAGTGTGTAAACCTATGTGGATGTAAGGGACTGTATATTGGGGAGAAGAGTGACGGGTAGTAGTCTGTAGGTCACAGACTCCAGGATATCATTGGCTGAAGAGGATTTATAACAAAATCATGTAATTATATTATTTAAGTTTATGTAATTATTTTTTTCTGTCCATTTAACTTGTGGAATTGTCAAATACAGTTGACTACAGTTATTAAAAACATTGATCTGATGTGGATTAAAGTACATTTAAATTACAGTTTACTTATTTAAGTTTTTGTAAAAGAATTACACTAATTTGTGGTTATATGATAAAATTGATATCACTCGCCTGTCTGTACACACAAAATGTAGCTGTTGCCAGCAACTGATCAGCTCAGCTTAGCATTAAGACAGGAAATGGGGAAACAGCTAGCCTGGCTCTGCGCAAAGGTACAAAATCCACAGAAAGCTCACCAATTAACATGTTATATTTTGTTTGTTTAACCCATACACAAACCGAAGAGTGAAGTTGCAGTTGTTTGGCAACCAGGGTTGGGAGGGTTTCTTTAAGAATGTAATCTGATACGGTTAAAAAATGTAATCAATAACCTAATCCAAGTATCACAATATGAATGTAATGTAACTTGATTACGTTTGGATTACCTCAAGACCAAATATGCAAATAAAGACAAGAGAAAAGAAATATCAGTAAGATGTCGTGCATTGTATAAGACAACAGAAGAATGTAACCTTAGAAAATAAAATGGAAACCAAGATTTTTAGCCTCACAAACTTGTCCTCTGCTCAGTGTATTTTTAAAGAAAAGGCACAACTTGCACTGTACTGCGATGTTGTTCGTCTTTTCTGCTTTAAAGGTCCAGTGTGTAGGATTTAGTAGCATCTATAACGGTGTAGTTACATTTTGCTCTCTTGCTTCACCCTGTGAAAAATGCGAATGGCTCTGTCTAGGGCCAGTATTTGGTTTGTCCATTCTGGGCTACTGTACAAACATGACAGTTCAACATAGCAGCCTCCATAGAGAGCCACCTGTGGCGCCTGTTGATATAAAAATCTCTTGAATTAATTTTATTTTCAGGCGATAATATTATAATGAAAACAGTTTTATTTGTTCCAATAGATCCTCCTAAATGTTACACACTGGACCTTTAAAGACAAAATAATGGTACAATTTCCACCCAGTCAAAGCTTTTTAGGGAAGGAGGGACTCCCCTCCCTCTGACCTCCTCCTCTTTCACACCCATTCAACCTGCAAGAGCAGTGACACACCAATAGGCTGACAGGTCATGACAGGTTTGCTGAACCATCCAACCCGCCCAGGACTTGCACCTGGTTGGTAATAAATAGAAGGATGCTAAAGAGAGTGACAGGATCATCAAAGACGAGGACAACGTAACGTCTACAGTACTTTTAACAATTATAGTGTTGGCTCATTTAGTCTGGTTCATTAGGCTGGTGACAAAAAAAAAGGTCAGGCCCCCATCAGGTTCAAGTGACCTTTATAATTTAGGCATTATGATGTACTTTCTTTATTTTCTTTTTTTGTCATTTGAACCTAAATAAAAAAATCTGGACCACTGAATGTATGGCTACACTACAATCAATCAGAATACCACTTTTGTTAAACAAATTTGTCTTTATTCGTAATGGTTTGAAAAGTATCAAAAACTTATGGTGGCATCTGAGTGCATCACAATACACATCTCACATCTCCACTTTCATTCATCCCAGCATAAAGTCTGCTGGTTTCATTGTAAAACATATAGAAGCAACTTAAAAAGCTATTATTTATATGCACAACTACTCAAAAAACAAAGTAAGAAAGTCATACAGTAATCAACCATAAACTGCTTTACATCTCAATACAAAACAACACACATTTCTTCTTCCACCTTTCTTCTTACTCCAGTTCCAACCTCTGTACCAGATCAGTCCCCACTGTCGTCAGTCGTTCTTCATCTCCAACATGGTTCAGAAGGTGATCGGTGCAGGGATTTCTGGACTAACAAGCATCAAGGCCTGTTAGATTTGACAAAGTGTGCCTGAAAAACCTCTATGGGCTTAAACCATCAGTTTTTAAGCCTCATTAGTTGCTATTATAGTAACTGTACATATGTGGTCCCAAAGTCATGACAGCAACATACTGAGTTATTAATGTGCTCTACTGGATTTAAAAACTCATCAAATGTCCTTATTTATACCTCTGTCTCACATTGTCTGTCTGCAGGACAATCCAGAGCCTGGACGTGCTAACATCTATTATTCAGTGATCATCAACAGCTCCAAAGAGAGGATGGCCTTCAGTGACTTTCCTCCACCAGCTGAGCTTCCCAACAACATGCACCACTCTGAGATGCTGCAATATCTGCGTCTCTACGCTCAGGCCTTCAAACTGATGCAACACATTCGCTTCCAGATTAGTGGTCCTTATCTGTAGTAGTATACTGGGGGCGTTCAGAGGCTGCATCTTCGAAGGATGCTGCCAACAGAGGTGCATCCTTCGGAGGGCCTGAAGCTTAGGTTGTATCTGCACCTCCTCCTAAAATGAGAAAATTTATTTTTACAAATGGCTGTCATCACAGCGCTTCAGTATATATACTGGCCTTATGTTCTTCCTGCCTGGCTATTGGACTTCTACCTCTCAGACTCACCTGTTTTGGATATATTGGGCTGGTTTAATCTGCCCGACCTGATTTTGAATTTTGCCATGGATTCAAACCTGTTTCTCTACTGAGCCATTGTGTTGGTCTAGTTTTGGTCTAGTTCAGGTGATATATTTACCAGAATTACAACCACATAGGTGCACACAGTGTGTGTGTGTGTGTGTGTGTGTGTGTGTGTGTGTGTGTGTGTGTGTGTGTGTGTGTGTGTGTGTGTGTCAGACTACCGTGGTCAGTGTGAGGCAGAGACTGGATTTTGATGCGACAGGCCAGTGGGAGGTGGAGACAGAGAGGACAGAGGGTCAGAGGGAGACAATTGTTTTTGATGCAGTGATAGTTTGTACCGGACACTTTACCAAGCCTCACCTGCCACTCACAGACTTCCCAGGTATAATATTTTTTTCATTTTTTCATTTTTCATTATCATAGATATGAACCCACTCCCACTGTGGTTTCTAAATTCCTTTTTTAAACCTGTGCTTTGCAGCATGGCTTATGTGTCATCACCACACCTAGAATAGTAACGTTTGAGAGTCAGTCTCACACCTATATTAATCAAATATTTAGTAATCATGCATTAGAAAGCAGTGGAATGATTGATTGATTGTTTTTTGTTTCCCTGTTTCAGGTATTGAGAGCTTTGAAGGTAGATATTTCCACAGCTGGGATTACCACAGTGCTGAGGGTCTGCAGGGGAAAAGAGTGGTGGGGATTTGGATTTGGAGTTCTGGAGGTGATATTGCTGTGGATATCAGTAGAGTTGCTCAGAAGGTACACAACTAAACCCCATTTCTGTATTGTTAACATAACTAAGCAGATGCTGAAAATGAAATATAACAAGGACATGGTTATTTACCCTCTCTGCAGGTGTACCTCAGTACCAGGAGCGGAGCCTGGGTTGTGAGCCGTGTAGGAGAGGGGGGGCTCCCACTGGACATGTTAGGGATGTCCCGGATGGATATGATGCTGCAGAAGCTCTTCCCCTCACGGAGTGCCAGGATGTTGGAAAAGAAAGTGAACAAAGTATTTAATCATGGACTGTATGGCCTGAAACCAAAACACGGGTAACAAAATCACATTTAGTCACAAGCATTTAAGTTATGTCAACCAACTGAGGTTAAATGACGTCAATAGCAAATGTTTCAACAGTTCTTTAAAGTCATTAGAGTTAGCAGACAAATGGCAGCAATTCATATTTAATTGTTGGTTTATGTAACAGGGAAAGTGCACATTAAAAAGCATACTGTAAATGCATCATAGTTAGTCAAGAGGCTATTTTTCAGGTAATATCTGAAACGTGCAGAGGCTAATAAAAAGGGTAGACTGGTGATGACAAGATTGCGACAGGCGACAGCAGACAGCGAGGGAAGTTCACAGCACAGATTGTTTAGTCATCTGGAATATGATTTATACATGTGATCATTAAAGGCTGAAATAATCTGCTAACGATGCATTAGCCACTCCTCACCAACTTCTTAAGATAAAGATTTAAGATTGAATGCATTTATTCATGTATGGTATCCAGGGTTTACTTATGCACCTCTGATGTTCTGTTGGCAGGATTTTTGTGCAGAATGCTGTAGTGAGCGACGACCTGCCAGCTCAGATCATCTCAGGACATGTTCAAGTGAAACCAAATGTGAAAGAGTTCTGTGGTTCCAGTGTGGTCTTTGTAGATGGGAGCATCATAGACAAAGTGTGTACTGCAGTATTAACTCAACAAAAACAACTGTATCATATATAACAAGATTTACAGTATCATTTCACTTTATCCCGTAAGAGCATGTATTGTATGTAAGTAGCCTTTTTTTCTTTATTACCACATACCTTTTTTCAACATAATCAATAATCGATTATTGAATGGTTTAAATATGCAAAGACATTAGATATTTACGTCCCTCCAATCATTGAGTTGTGTATATGTGTGTCATACAGGTGGATGTAGTGGTGTTTGCCACAGGCTTCAACTACAGCTTCCCCTTCCTGCCCTCGACTCTGCAGGCTAAATCTGGTTACAGGCTGTGTCTCTACAAGCATGTGTTCCCTCCTGCACTGAGCCAGCCTACACTGGCAGTGGTGGGCTTCATCCACGGCCTCGGATCTATCACTCCACTGGCTGAGATGCAGGCCCGCTGGGCTACAAGAGTGAATCATAGTTTACTCCTGAAGTATTTTTTTAATCACTTGTTCGGATACTTATAGGGCTCTCTCTGTTAGACTTGACTGACTTTTACACACAGAAAAGGCTTTCAAAATTCATGTCCCAATGAAAAACATTTACTTCAGTTATTAAAGGGAAAAGCCAAATAACATTTTTAACGGTCCATTAAACTAAATACATACATAAAATGTATTAATTTTATCTATTCGTTTTAATGTATTCTTTGTAAGGTTTAGGGTTTTCTTTTAGATATTTTCAATCTTACATCATAGTCAGGTCTGATGGTTTTCTTCTTCTTCTAATTCACCCAAATGTTCCCAAGGTTTAACAACTTTATCCTCCGAGGAAACAATGTTAGAGGAAATTGAGAAGGAAACAGCAACCATGCATCAGAGGTAAGGTATAAACACTTGAATGAATTAAATTATTACTGTTCTTTGTCAGATACTACAGCCATAAAATCTAAATTTAAGCAAAGAGGAAGGAACCTCGACTGGAGATGATGATGAGAAATAATACAAGAAAGAATGAGCTGAGACAGTCAATAAACCAAACGTATCTCATACCATGATTCTGTTATTGACTTACTCTTAAATTCACCACCTAAAATACTGAGGTGATTTGTTTGGACATTTTGAATATTTTTTGAGTCAGTATTTAGCTGGCTTTAGAACTGCATTTTAAGGAAGTTATGCATTAGCTTTTGACCACCATGACTTGTGATTTCAGATATTGAGGTCTTATAGCAACTTTTAACTCATCAGTTTGTCTCTTTCTGCTTCTCTTTCTCTTAGATATGCCTGCTCTGAACGCACCCCGATCCAGGTGGACTACATCCCCTACCTGGACTCTCTAGCAGAGCTGGTGGGGGTTTGACCAAACATACCGTGGCTCTTGCTGAAGGACCCCAGACTGGCACTGCAGGTTTTGCTTGGTCCCTGTACTTCATATCA